CCACCAGTTGGAAATCAGAAATTCAACAACTTTGTTCTACAAAAAACTGAATCTGAACATATGGTGGATACCAAAATACTCGTAGAGACTCCCTCTTTCATTTGGTACCATCACGATGTTCGAGGTTTGTATAGGGAGGCTTCCAGAGTCATTTTTGTGTCCTGACCACCAGTTGGAAATCAGAAATTCAACAACTTTGTTCTACAAAAAACTGAATTTGAACAAATGGTGGATACCAAAATACTCGTAGAGACTCCCTCTTTCATTTGGTACCATCACTTTGTTCGAGGTTTGTATAGGGAGGCTTCCAGAGCCATTTTTGTGTCCTGACCACCAGTTGGAAATCAGAAATTCAACAACTTTGTTCTACAAAAAACTGAATTTGAACAAATGGTGCATACCAAAATACTCGTAGAGACTCCCTCTTTCATTTGGTACCATCACTATGTTCGAGGTTTGTATAGGGAGGCTTCCAGAGCCATTTTTGTGTCCTGACCACCAGTTGGAAATCAGAAATTCAACAACTTTGTTCTACAAAAAACTGAATTTGAACAAATGGTGGATACCAAAATACTCGTAGAGACTCCCTCTTTCATTTGGTACCATCACTATGTTCGAGGTTTGTATAGGGAGGCTTCCAGAGCCATTTTTGTGTCCTGACCACCAGTTGGAAATCAGAAATTCAACAACTTTGTTCTACAAAAAACTGAATCTGAACATATGGTGGATACCAAAATACTCGTAGAGACTCCCTCTTTCATTTGGTACCATCACGATGTTCGAGGTTTGTATAGGGAGGCTTCCAGAGTCATTTTTGTGTCCTGACCACCAGTTGGAAATCAGAAATTCAATAACTTTGTTCTACAAAAAACTGAATTTGAACAAATGGTGCATACCAAAATACTCGTAGAGACTCCCTCTTTCATTTGGTACCATCACTTTGTTCGAGGTTTGTATAGGGAGGCTTCCAGAGCCATTTTGTGTCCTGACCACCAGTTGGAAATCAGAAATTCAACAACTTTGTTCTACAAAAAACTGAATTTGAACAAATGGTGCATACCAAAATACTCGTAGAGACTCCCTCTTTCATTTGGTACCATCACTATGTTCGAGGTTTGTATAGGGAGGCTTCCAGAGCCATTTTTGTGTCCTGACCACCAGTTGGAAATCAGAAATTCAACAAATTTGTTCTACAAAAAACTGAATTTGAACAAATGGTGGATACCAAAATACTCGTAGAGACTCCCTCTTTCATTTGGTACCATCACTTTGTTCGAGGTTTGTATAGGGAGGCTTCCAGAGCCATTTTTGTGTCCTGACCACCAGTTGGAAATCAGAAATTCAACAACTTTGTTCTACAAAAAACTGAGTTTGAACAAATGGTGCATACCAAAATACTCGTAGAGACTCCCTCTTTCATTTGGTACCATCATTATGTTCGAGGTTTGTATAGGGAGGCTTCCAGAGCCATTTTTGTGTCCTGACCACCAGTTGGAAATCAGAAATTCAGGAACTTTGTTCTACAAAAAACTGAATTTGAACAAATGGTGGATACCAAAATACTCGTAGAGACTCCCTCTTTCATTTGGTACCATCACTTTGTTCGAGGTTTGTATAGGGAGGCTTCCAGAGCCATTTTTGTGTCCTGACCACCAGTTGGAAATCAGAAATTCAACAACTTTGTTCTACAAAAAACTGAATCTGAACATATGGTGGATACCAAAATACTCGTAGAGACTCCCTCTTTCATTTGGTACCATCACGATGTTCGAGGTTTGTATAGGGAGGCTTCCAGAGTCATTTTTGTGTCCTGACCACCAGTTGGAAATCAGAAATTCAACAACTTTGTTCTACAAAAAACTGAATTTGAACAAATGGTGGATACCAAAATACTCGTAGAGACTCCCTCTTTCATTTGGTACCATCACTTTGTTCGAGGTTTGTATAGGGAGGCTTCCAGAGCCATTTTTGTGTCCTGACCACCAGTTGGAAATCAGAAATTCAACAACTTTGTTCTACAAAAAACTGAATTTGAACAAATGGTGCATACCAAAATACTCGTAGAGACTCCCTCTTTCATTTGGTACCATCACTACGTTCGAGGTTTGTATAGGGAGGCTTCCAGAGCCATTTTTGTGTCCTGACCACCAGTTGGAAATCAGAAATTCAGGAACTTTGTTCTACAAAAAACTGAATTTGAACAAATGGTGGATACCAAAATACTCGCAGAGACTCCCTCTTTCATTTGGTACCATCACTTTGTTCGAGGTTTGTATAGGGAGGCTTCCAGAGCCATTTTTGTGTCCTGACCACCAGTTGGAAATCAGAAATTCAACAACTTTGTTCTACAAAAAACTGAATTCGGACAAATGGTGCATACCAAAATACTCGTAGAGACTCCCTCTTTCATTTGGTACCATCACTTTGTTCGAGGTTTGCATAGGGGGGCTTCCAGAGCCAGTTTGGTGTCCTGACCACCAGTTGGAAATCAGAAATTAAGCAACTTTGTTCTACAAAAAACTGAATCTGAACATATGGTGGATATCAAAATACTCGTAGAGACTCCCTCTTTCATTTGGTACCATCACTATGTTCGAGGTTTGTATAGGGAGGCTTCCAGAGACGGACTTCTCTCCTGATTCACTGGATTAAAATTTTTGTGATTTAGTAATATTTAGTTTTAGATTATAATAAAATATGTTTCAAAATGTTCGTATTGTTTATTTTTTTTCATTACTAATGAATTATGTTAACATTTTTATTAATAATTTTAAAAAATTATTAATTTATAATATTCTGCGCTATCTCTGTTGGAAAGCACTGTTGATAAAAATAGTATTAAACGTGAAATTGTGATGTTCTGTGTCACCCTGTAATTTCGATAAAAATTTTGTTATCGAAAGTTAGCGATATCGCTAACTTCACGCAGGTTTTTATTATAAAAGAAAGGAGAACGGCGTCCAAATTCAAATTTGACTCTGACATTGTACCAGTTAAAGTTAACCTGCATAGCCGGATTAATTTTGCAGGAATGCCAAACGCAGGCATGGCTTTATACATCTCTGAACGGATAGGGCTGTCGAATGCGCCTTAATAGTTGACGAATAAGTGGAATGTGTCGATGTGGTTTTTCCAGGATCTGGCACAGAGTGAAAATGTGGTCAATGGTGGATTTGCCAGTCCTGGAGCCGCATTGGTACGGTCCAATAATGTCAATGAACATTGGCTATAGCTGGCACATATCGTCTTGTCTCCTTTTTGTGCACGGGACACAGGTTGCTGAGGTTCCAATCATTGGGCGTGCATTTCTCTAGCCAAAATGTACAAATGAGCCGGTACATGCTCCTGACCAGCATCTGACCAACGGTCTTGAATAGTTCGGCAGTAGCATTACTATGTGTTTCTTGGCGGTGATTTTTGATACCCAAGTGTTCGGCAGTAGCATTACTATGTGTTTCTTGGCGGTGATTTTTGGTACCCAAGTGTTGCTTTTGCTTCAATTTGTAGGGAGTGGGCATTTCATTGCTTCTATACTATTATCGGGACAAGAAGTGCTTTCGTAGAGCAGGTGGGTAAGTTGAGCCGAGTAGACCTCTGCTACCTGTTGTGTTTGGAGCTTCTCGACGTCGAGTTTCCGTGTTACATTACATCGCACCTTTGTCGCTACATTAAGACGGGTGCGAACCTCGTATCGATCGAACGTCTAAAACACTGTACGCTTTCTGTCTATCACAACATTATCAATTTGATTTCTCGTTGCTTGATCAGGAGAAATGCAGGTGGCCTTGTGTATGTCGAGAAGAACAAAAACCTTTGTTTTTGACTCGATTATCTGCCAAAATTTTCCATATAATATTTCAAATGGTTAGCAACACTGCACATCGAATTCAAGTAGAAATTACCCACTTTGACAGTTAATCCAGACATCAGCTGCGCTAAATGGACTACCTATTCATTGTGCCATGGTCAGATGCTTAAATCTGGCGTTGTCAACTCCCATGTTTTTTACTGCCGCGAAGTCAATCAACCTCATGACGTTTTCGAATGTTTCTTCATGGAGGCTGAATTTCCGACGATGGCCCCAAAAATATTTTTCCTTCCGATTTTTTCATTAAAATCTCCTTTCAGAATTTTAATGTCATGGGCAGCGATCATATGCAGTTTCTAGGTGCTCGTAAAAATGTCTGTCCGATCCATCGGACGGAACAGCGACTCCATCATGGATAAAGAGTTCCTTTTGATCAAGAGGTACCTCAAATTCATTCGGAAATTCTCCAGAATTTATTTGAATGCATGCGGCTGAGCATATCTCTGCCGAATCTCGATCACAGCCCTCAGCTGTGAAGAGAATGAGGTCCTCGGACGAATAACAACCTGCTGCTAAGAGATCCCCGCCTTCGTCAGTTACACACAGTTCTGCTTCGTTTGCGTCGGTAGTGTCGATGGAGAAACCTGCAAGAGCCGAAGGGTATATTTTAGTTTTAGGGGGGGTTTGAATTTTTAGAGAATTCATACGCATTGGTTAAATGAAGGACCCGAGGTCGACCATGACATAGCCTCCTCACAACATGGTAACTGCATTGAGGTGTCTAGATATCGATGAGGCTCCGTTCGAATACTGTTAGAATACTACATTAAATAATTTTTCTTGAAAAAAATATTTCGAAGGGAGATTTTCGGTGGTTGGGGTTGCTTATTAATGACAAATACGAGTGGCCAAACTATCAAACAAACAAAATTTGGATAGAAGGAACGAATAAACCGAGAAAAAAAAACAAATTATGGGCAAGAGTGTTATTCAAAAGTACTAGTGTGCCGCTTAACGATTTATTGTTTCATGGGATAACCCTTTGTAATACTTCTAATAGTAATACTACGTTCCATGTAATCGAGCTAAATATGCATGTAATCGATATAAAGTTATTTATCGATTGCTTATTATTATTATTATTTTTTCTACAAAACAACATCATCATCAAAACTGGCAGACAGACGACAAACATTTCTCGAATAAAATTTAAAGAAATATGCCCGTATATCACGAAAGACAAACGCGACAATTATGTGCTTTACATACTTTAAATAATTTATTTCAATGTAAGCTCCGACATATCGATTTTAACACACATATATGCGAATGTTTTCTAATTGTGTGTGAATGTTTTTTTATTCTCTGTAGCTCGTCAAGCATTTACCAAAGAACAATTAGATCAAATATGTACAAATTTAAATCCAAATGTATTTCTAAATCCACATCGTTCGATGCTGGGATTAGGAAACTATGATGTCAATGTTATAATGACCGCCCTGCAGACGAATAATTGTGAGGCCTGTTGGTTTGATAAGCGAAAGTAAGTCGATATATTTTTGGGAAGGGGTTTGTTTTGTTTAAAAAGATACAAACAAAACAAAAGAGAAAGTGTAGGTGGCGGGGAAGGCATTTGATGTTCATATTATGATTGGATGGCATTTGTTGTACTTTACAATGATTTGCATTTTCCATATTAAATACCCACAAAATTTGCCGTGTTTAGGTTTAATATTTAAAATAAGAATGCAGGAAAGGATACAACAAAAATATCCCTTAGTGACTTAAAAAATACTAACTTATTTTTTTCAGAGATCCTTCGTGCATTGACCTTAACGCAATTGTGGGCTTCATTCTCAATGTTCCTTCAGATTATAAATTCGGCTTTATAACACTGCCATTGCGTCGAAGACATTGGATTGCGGTACGTCAAATCGATGGCAAATTTTACAATTTAGACTCCAAACTGCAAGCACCCGAATGCATAGGTAACGACGAGCAATTATTTGCATTTCTGAAACAACAACTGCAATCAAATGATCGGGAATTATTTGTTATTGTCGAATCGAGTGCCAATGATGCAAATGACCAACAGAAAAAATGGTTAAAAGAATCACCAACAAATGAAACCCCAACAAAAATGGCCAAACATAATAATACAAATTCTTCAGTAATGAATGGTCATGTTTCGTGAGTTCTAAATGGCGACGAAACATAGGTATATGGACTTGTGCATTATACGAAGGTTGTAAAGAATTTACAAAATGTTTATTTATTTTATAAACAAGAAGACGAATAAATTAAAAAAAAGACAAAAGCAAAGCGAAATAAAGACTAGTCTGGTTAGTTTTTTTCTATGGAATAACCAAAACCATTTGAATATAAACAAAAATACCTACGTACACAATTTGTTAAAATACATATATTTTTTTATTATTTTATGTCATGTGTAAAATGCTTTATTATAATCACTTAATTATATATTAGTATATATATTTTTATTTATTTATAAAAAGGATGAAAGACATATATTTTTTTATTATTTTATGTCATGTGTAAAATGCTTTATTATAATCTCTTAATTATATATTAGTATATATATTTTTATTTATTTAAAAAAAGGATGAAAGACGATTATATTAAAATAAACGTATAAACTGTTGTTTAAAAAAAATAATTTTTGAAATATTTCTTATTTGGATTTAGAATATTAAAGCTTTTTATGGGAAATATGCGAAGATAAATATTTGGTGTCCATAAAATAATTTTAGAAAACCAAGCATGGATATATTTTGAAAAAATTTCCAAGTTTATTTTTGAAAAATTCAAACATAAATATTTTTTTGCAAATATTAATTTTCAAAAAAGGATATATATATATACAGTGGTGGTCACAGAATTAAAACATTTACTGTGGTAAACATTTTTTGATCAGCCCTCGATTCGTTTGAAGTATTTTTGAAATTTTTTTTAATTCAGAACACTTCGATATACTGCACTTAAGAGATTTAGTGTGAAAATGGAAAATTATTGCAAGCAATTTTCCATAAATAACGGTTTTTATGAAAATACGTCGACTTTGAAGTAGCCATATAATTAAAACATTGTGTAATTGTTTACTTTACTACATTTTTTGAAAATATTTTTAAAAAAGCTTTTTAATTTAGTTAAAATACGTAAACTAAGCACTGAAAAAATCATTTACTGATAAAAATTGTAAAATCTATCAAAATTGCCAATAATTTGTACAGTACAACTTACATTCAGAAAATAACCCTTATTATAGAAAATAAAGGTCCGAATGCACCAGAAATTGCTAGAATTAGTAGAAAACAATAAATTATTCTCAAAATAAATAAATATTTAAAATAAAAACTGAAAAAATAGGAATTAACCTAAAAGAACGACACAATTTCGATAGCCTTTATTGAAGAAGGCCGGAATATTTTTGCAGTGTGTGAGGAAATATCGATTGATATTGGCATTTATTATATCAAATCGATTGTTCGAGTAGTACAGAATATATTTTATCAAAAAATATATCAGTCACACCAGAACGAACAGAGATCAACACCTATGTTGACGAGAAAACGTTTCTGGTACACAGCAGCATGTTTGATGGTTAACTCTTGACCCTTAAAATCTATTGAACATGACAATATTTTTCCAAAATAATATTTTTTGAATAGAATAATGCCAATTTAGTCTATTTTAGCCAAAAGAAAGAAAAAATTACAATTTGACAAATATTTAAAGTCTTGTGTTGAGCATCAAAAATGCTGCTGTGTGGCAGAAGCTTTTACTCGTCAACATAGGCGTTGATCTCTGTTCTTTCTGTTGTGACTTGTATATTTTTTTAATAAAATATATTCTGTACTACTCGAACAATCGATTTGGTATAATAAATACCAATAACAATCGATTTTTTCTCACATACTGCAAAAATATTCCGGCCTTCTTCAGTAAAGGCTATTGAAATTGAATCGTTCCTTTAAGTTAATTCCCATTTTTTGAGTTTTTATTTCGATAATTATTTATTGTTTTCTACTAATTCTAGCAATTTCTGGTGCATTCGGACCTTTATTTTCTATTTCTATTTTTTTCCTGAATGTAAGGTGTACTGTACAAATTATTGGCAATTTTGATAGATTTTACAAATTTTTTAAAAAATTTTTATCAGTAAATGATTTTTTCAGTGCTTAGTTTACATAATTCAACTAAATTAAAGAGCTTTTTTAAAAATATTTTCAAAAAATGAAGTAAAGTAAAAAATCACACAATGTTTTAATTATATGGCCACTTCAAAGTCGATGTATTTTCATAAAAACCGTTATTTATGGAAAAATTGCATGCAATAATTTTCCATTCTCACACTAAATCTCTTAAGTGCAGTATATCGAAGTGTTCTGAATTAAAAAAATTTCAAAAATACTTCAAACGAATCGAGGGCTGATCAAAAAATGTTTAACACAGTAAATGTTTTAATTCTGTGACCACCACTGTATATAAGTAAATATACAATACTTAAATGTTTAAAAAAATTAATTAAAAAGAACAACATTTGGATTTTATATTATATGGAAGCATACTTTTTTTTTAAATCCACAGAATATAAATTTATTTTATTTTTGTTAACACGCATAATAAAAAAATAAAAAATACACGTTTCTGTTATTTATTGAAATGTTGTTTTAATATTCATAAATCGGATTATTTTTACAAAAGAAAATAAGTTTCTGAAAATTCAAGCTTCTTTAAAAAAAATAATTTTCAAAAGTCTTCGCTTCTTTATTTTTTATGCATTTTTAAATACATGCGCCTTTTTAATAAAATATCTTTCTTTAATAACAGCTTTTCATAAAAATATATTTTTTAAAAAATTTAAGTTTCTACAAAGACAATTGAGCATCATTACGTTTTTGAATCCCCATACTTCTTAAATTTATTTATTTTTTTTTTGAAAATTTTTTGAAATTTATATTACAATATTTCTTAAAAATTTATTTTTTAAGAAAATCTAAGTTTCTACACATTCTTTCAAACATATTTTCGTTATGTTATTTTTGTGAGCATTGTAAACAATTAATATTTTTAAATATGAATTTTCCTTTTTTTAATTCACTTTTCAGAATTTTGTGCACATACACATTTTTTTTAAATCCAAGCCTCTGAAGATTGCTTTTTATTCAAGTTTCTGAAATTCCTTTAAAAAATATTTTTGAAAAATCTACCCTTTTATAATAACATACAACTATTTTTATATACCTGCATCGGAAAAAGCTTTTTAAAAAGATAATTTTTTTAACCTTCCCTTTTCTTCCCCCTTGTCACTTTTTATACCTCTCTCTCCTAAGAACTTAGCAGAATTGCTAACAAAAGTTACAAAGTTTTAAAAAAATTGCAGCCCAATAATGAATCCTATCATGAATAAAAAATAAATTCTCTAGAAAAAAAACGCTCTCAAATTTGCATTATCCTCCACAAATAATTTTTTTTGGTATTATACTCCGCCTCCCTTTTCTCAAAAGTACAATATTGAAAATGCAGTCTTTCGTTTTTGTCGTTATAGTTTTATTTTATTAATAAAAACTTGTATAAAATTTGTGTGTATAATATTGTATAGATAAAATATTCAATATTGAAAACTGTGCTTTATTGAATGATATTGACTTTTATAAATACTTTCTTTGTTGGAATGTTATCGAATATTTCCTTTAATTATTTAAAAAACAGGGCATTCAAAAAGGACAATTAACAAGAGATTCAAATAAACAATATCGATATAAATAGACAAATACATTTCGGAATGTACATACACAACATATACATAAATACTTTCTCCAAATGTATATATAAACAATTGTATAAGGCCACTAAATATTGGAGAATAAAATATATCGAGTGCTCGTTAAAAAGTTCGAGATTCGTTTTGTATATATAAAAAATACTTAGAATATATAAATGGACTTGTTGTTAACTACAAATTAGAAAACAAATTTCTGGACGGATATGTTTTTCTTCTATGTACTTTAATTTTGCTGCAAAAAAAAAAACAAGCTGCTCTGCTTAAATATCAGTTTGTATGCCACCACCTACAACAGCAGCTGGAGGAGCTGTTGGTGTACGATGTCCGGGTTGTGGGCGTCTTGGACGACTTGGCTGTGGATTGTAGTAATCCTGAATTGTAGGTTGTTGTTGTTGCTGCGGCTGTTGTTGTATTTGTGCTGGCACCCCTTGCGAAAAGTAATCATCACCACCACCATATTCACTTGCCGCCTCACGTGTACTAATCTCATTCAAACGTTTATAACGTTCACGGCGTGCCTCGATCATATACAGAACACCAGCTGGCATTAAAAAGATAGCTCCAACAACTCCCAGTGCAAACGACCAACCCATATCATTATTTTGCCAATGAGGCATCCAATCGCGTGAATCACCTTTGGCACCAAACACGACCACAGCTATGAAACCAAACAGTGATCCCAATATTTGACACGATCCAATGGTGAGCAACAGAAACACATAACGATCGTCGTCTCGTGAGGTACGCAAAAATGACAAAGTCAAGGGTAGGGCAATCAAACACATAACAAAACACAAAGTGGCAAACACCTGCACAGCAATATAGAATCCACGCAATAGGAAATCATGTATAATATAGTATTCCTCTTCAAAGACCCACATGCAGCCCTGGAAACGGGTTTCATAGAAACGATGAATGTCCTGGAAGTTGTTAAAGCAAACTTCCCACAGACCCAAATTAGTAAATCGTGGATCACTGAGACGACCATCTGTAACCAGCCAGTATGGTGTGACGAATGCTATGAGAAACAGGGAAAATGCTACGGCTGAAATGCCCACAGCAACACGAGTATTGCGATTGCTGGCTCCCATTTTGAAGAGAATAGTTTCACGATTCTGCTAACGAAACTGCTGTGCGTCCTTTGCGTATTTTTTCCAAAAATCCAAACAATTTATTTACTAAATTTCTATGGTTTGTTCCACGCCCAACAAATAATAATAATAATTAGAGCTGACAAAAAATCGATAACAACTATCGATATCATATATCAATTACCAATGATATAAACACAGAGTTGCAAAGACAGCTATGTGGTTAACCTATTGTAATAACGCTTTTGAATGGATTTTAATTGAAAATAATAACACATTTACAGAGCATTTATATTCGTATTTTATAAGGTGTGGATTTAAGAAATGCTGTAAATAAATCAAGGTTATTTACACTGGCTTTGAGATAATTTCGAATGAAAGTGGGTATTTGTTTACATAAACACATACACACTCACACTTGTTTACAAAAATAAAAAATGTTGCCACGAATGTTGAAATATTAGAATTTTAGATTTTATTTTTTTTTACCATTTTATTTATTTACTTTTATTTTATATTTATAATTCATTTATTTTCCCAAATACGTATTTTCAGTTTTCTGTTGAATGAAAATCATCTGAAAAAGACAAAATCCTTTCAACCGCTCAGTGCACATATCGGTTATGGTGTTTTTACACGATATGTATTTTACATATGTGCTGTCAGTTATTTCATCCATATGTAATTCCTTATGTGTGTCAAAATTAGCGGCGTACACAAAACATTTATTTTTGTGTTCAAATCGGCATATGTATTTTACATATGACATAACCTATAAACAAAGAAATCACTTTTATTTTTTCTTAAATCAACATCTTTTTTTATTAAACACCTACAAACGAAATAATAACTTGTAATTGTTCCCTTTTCAACTTTTTCTTTGACTTGCAATTGAAATATTTTCTTCCAACAATGTGTTTCATTCAAACAGCTGATTTCCTTATGTTTCACATGACGAGTTCGATTTCCATATGCAAAAAAGTGACAGCACATATGTAAAATACATATCGTGTAAAAACACCATTAATTCCATAAAATCAAAAGTTAAGAAATCCGATCATGTATGTTGTTTTAAAAATTCCTTTAATAATATGAATTCAGCTATATAATGTAAAATGCATAATGGCAATAATTTAACTTAATTTTAACCTAAAGTTTCTTTAAGAAGCCCAAAATGACTGCTTGCGAACGTATGTTGAAGACTTATGATGAGATAATAACCTTTGATCGACTGGTTTTGAAGCAGTCTATTGTTTCTTGTTGCAAGGCAAACGCGCCGCATACATTTCTGTAAGGCAATTGTTGAACCGAACACCCGCTCCAACGTTGATCAAAGGAATGCAAATTCAAACGTCGTCCGTCTTTTAAAATAAGACCTATAGCTCTTCTATATGAACTCTTACAAGACCCGAAATCTTCTATAAGAAAACATCTATAGGACAGATCGGAAAAGGAACCCTTATGTAATAATATCTATTCTCTTCCATTATAATATCTATTCTCTTCCCGATGAAGGCGCCATTACTTTAAAATGCTATCCTTCCTGAAAATATTTTAAGTTATTATTACTAATTTATAATTATTGAATGACTTACCTTTGGGCGGCTGTCCTAGTTACAAAATAACATTTTCCAGCTTTCACCATCTTCGTAAAACAATTGGTCTGTTCCCGTACTGCAAGAATCTACTCGATTTTACTATTTTCTTCGATATCATAAAGGAAAATTCGTTATCGTAGTAAAAAACAGTAGATTCATGCAGTACAGGAACAGACCAAATGTTGTTCAAATGACCGTTAGAACATGGCATTACTAGGATAAACATTTTCCTTTATGATAAAAAAGGATAAACATTTTATTGTTCTCTTCACGTACTGCAAGGATCTTCTAATTTTTATTATTTTTTTCGATATTAAAAAGCACATTTGTTATCGTAGTAAAAAATAGTTGATTCTTGCAGTACGGGAACAGACCACAAATTGGTGAAAATGTCGATTGGTGTGTTTATAAATAAATGTGAAGGCGCGTTTTACTATAGCTTTTATATTGATAATGTGCAGTATTAATTGCTTAACCAAACTTAATTTCCACGGTTAAACATACAAAATCAAATCCACCCAATATCTCGATTTGTCCAAAATCCAAATTCAACCCAGCCTTGAACCAAAAATTTAATCACTTCTCCTGCTAAAAATTATAAAAATATAGATTGAAAAATTGCTAAATTACGATAGATTATAAAACCAGTGAAATGTATGTGTATACGTAACAAATAACAGCTGACAAATCAATTTTATATATTTTTAACACTAGTCTAAATAGCTGGGAGTTTGATACCTCGATTTACAAATCGAATTGATGTAGAAGGGTCAGTGTAAACGCACCTTAATATAAAAATACATCACTACAGAGTTGCATTTCTGTTTTCTTCAAAATATATCTGTCTTTTTTATTTTTCTGTAGAATCTATTATACATTGAATTTTCTTCGATTTTTCTTTTACGCATTTAAAAAGTTCAGCTAGTTTTTTTTATACATTTTGTAAAAAGTTTTGCATCGAATTCTTTAATGTTTCTCGGTTTTTAACTTTTTTCTACGACAGTCAATAGTAACGCCGTCAAAAGTCGTGTTATCACATTTCAGTGCGCTTTTCACAGCTTCCAGTGTTATCATTTTCACATGATTTGCCTTAGTATACATGCCGTCGCCATCAAAACATTACAACGCCGCCGATATACGATTCATTTTAACGCCTTTGCTCTCTACAACAACTGTCACATGATTTTCACCTGACTTGACGTATACTTCGCAAAATTCCAATTTTTCCCAACAGGAAAATACGAAAAAAATCAAGGCGATATATTGTTCGAGTCCATCTGTAAAAAAACCAACAAAAAACAGGCAAAATGAAAATCTGTGGTCCTAAACTATCCCTCTGTGGTTTGATCATCTCCGTTTGGGGCATTGTCCAATTGGTGAGTATGGGTAGTTGTGTGGAAAGAAAAAAAAAACTGTTTTTGTGTGTAGAATAGAGATATGATGGCGAGCGAGTAATGTTTTTGCCCAACGATGAAACAATGGCTGGCTGGTGGTGATGATGGCGTATGACAAAAAGAATTCGTATTTGTATGGGTGGGAAAATGACTGTCCAAGCAACCATCCCCGAAATATGGGTGGATATGATGTTTTTGTGTAAAATTGTTAATTTTATTAAAATAATATATTTTATTGTTTTAAAGAAATATAATGAATCAATTTTCTTCTCCTAGGTATTGATGGGCTTGTTCTTCTATATCCACAGTGTTGCCTTGATTGAGGATTTGCCCATTGAAGAGGAATACCACAGTTTGGATGCATTCTATACTGCTGCCAATAATGCTTACAATCAGGTATGCATTTCAATAATTTAAAAGAAGTTTTATTTTTTCTATAAAGAACCCTATTGCTATGCAGTGTGTGTAATTGACCTTGAAATCGGTTTTAATATAATTTTTATTAAAAAGTGTTGCATATTTGGTATGTCGTGTTTAAACAAGCTAGCTAAATGTGGGAAACGAAATTAATTGCGTAAAATCACACATTCGTTCGTAGTTCACAACAATGTAAATATGTTGAGTTCTCGTGATCTGTTTACTTCGTTCATGCCATAACTTCTGCTGGTGTATTGTATTATTGGATTTATCATTTTTTTCTGTTAACATGTTTTGTTAAAATATGATAAAGAAATTAGCTACTATTTTTTGTACTGATAACAAATGTTTATTGTTGTGCGATTGAAATTGAATGAACTTTTCGTATTTTCCTGGTGTTTTAAAATGGAGTTTGAATATCGATGTATGTTTACAAATGTTAATTTTTATGATTCACTTTGTGTAAGGGATAGCTTTTTAAGGCCGCTCCATAAAAATATCGAAAATATGAAAATCTAAAATATAAATAATTACCAAATAAGTAGAAGTTAAAAATAAATTCAAATTGTAAATGCTAATATGAATTAAATATTATCTAGCTTACACCTTCCATAATTTAACAAATCATAAGATTTTCCTTTTTTATTTACAATTAAGAACATATAAATTGATAGAGAATGGAAAAACATATTATAAAATTTGGATTTTGAAGGAATTAGATGGAATTCATTAGCAACACCGCCACATACCAATGTCTTCTAAAATTCTATAATTATCCTGTTTTCACAATTTGACAATTTTCAAAAATAGAAAAAATATTAAATTATTTTGATTTTGGTAACGATTCTCCAAATAGCCAATGTTGTTGATACTAAAAATTGGAGAATTTAAACTAATTATCACCTTCCAAAGCTGTTGATAAAACTGAATCTTCGGAGAATCAGCTATCCGTGACGGAATTAGCAAATAGCGATATCCCGTCTCGGTCCCCCCTAGAAGGACTTTAAAATCATCCTCCCCTTTCTAACACTATAAAGCAAACAGTTTCTGCCCCCTCTATTACAAATTTAAATTCAACTTCTGGCACAATAAAGCAACCATCTGTCCCTTCCATTGTGATTGATAAGCCCTATACTTCTACCATGAATGATCAACTAATAGTTATTGTTCCTCGGAAAATCCTGTTTCTATCAAGGTTGCACCCTGATACTACTATTGATAATATTCGTGACTTCAAAATGTTCAAGTTCAATTCTAGTCAACCTCGTTATATTTCATTCTTCAAGATCATATCTCCTCCAAATCTATTTGATACTATCCTTAATAACACATTTTGGCCCGACGGACTTTTAGTAAAAGAGTTTGTATACAGGGAAATATCTAATTCAGTCTAACCAATCACCATTCCTATTACGAAAAAAAACTAAATATGAACTTGTCATTCCTCTATCAGAATGTAAGAGGGTTAAATACGAAACTTACAAATTTATACACAAATAGACGTTATCTTTATCATAATGTAGTTGTTTTTACTGAAGCTTGGCTTAAACCCGATGTGAGTAATTCGAAAATTGGTACCTGTGTAAGGTGGCAAAGGGTCAATAAGTATACACTGTTGGCCAAAATGAGTACTGTATAGCGATCGGCGTCGATTCTGATTAGTGGAGCGCTAAGAAGCACACCACAGACAGCCCTGAATACAATCCTGAATCTCCAATCACTGGACATTCTGGTTTAATTCCGTTAGGCGAAAGTACGTTTTTCGGCATAAGTAAGGTGTATATATTCTGAATGTACATTTCGAGGCCTTTCAATTGATGTGGGTCTATATACTGCATCCATTTTAGTTTTTGCGCAATATGGCGTTTTCTACACAGAGTCCCCACTGTCACTGAGACTTGCAATGAAAATCGAGAAAATCCATTTAGAAAAGTTTGTTTTGTTTAGTTTTCTACACAGAGTCCCCACTGTCACAGAGACTTGCAATGAAAATCGAGAAAATCCATTTAGAAATGTTTGGTTTGTTTTGAGATAGTCAAAACACTTATTGCCGATAACATAGGACCGGTAACTATATATGTCGAAAGTCAGCCGGACATTAAGGCACTTAAGTCGTGTACTATTAACTCAAACGCATTTCGTGACTGCAAGGATGCTCCACATGATATGCGAAAGTTTATAAAACCAATATTTCAAAGAGGCCATATCAAAGTTTATATACCCTCATTAGTCAGAATGCTGAATTATGGCCCCGCACATTTCCGCCCATTTTAAAGTAACCACATCTCCGCTATCCATCTGGGAAACCTATTGTAGCCATTGACTTCATGAGGCATTGTTGCTATATTGTTGTTGCAGCCTTCCCAATTCAATTTTCTCTCTACCCCTGATATATTGGTCTTAACTCTTAATATTTAAGAAAAAACTTTCATGTCTATCCCTGTAGCCATTTCAGGTTCTCAGTGATTAGGGAACATTCTAGCATATATTTTTTAACATAATAATTATAAACTAAAAACATAATCACGTTATAAATTGTTAATGTTCTCAATAATATTAAATATTTTTGTTTTTTTCTTTCAATTACAGAACGCCTACAACTGTTGGATTGCAGCTTGCATCTATGTGCTGACTCTGTTGTTATCTGCCCAACAATTCTATGTCAACAGTCGAGTAACTGCCAACTAAAATATTTTTCATCGTCAATGTGAAAAATAAAACATGTACTGAGGGATGAGATGCAGATGCTAGATTAGAGTGAAAATCATGGGGGAGTTCAACACAGCATTATTGTATCCTAAAAATTCACTACAATCCACTTTCCCACAAGAAAAACAACAAAACACAAATAAAATGTAGAATCTGTAATTGGATGTTACGACGATTTGATTTATTCAAAACAAAAACAAAATGTCAACTCTAGTTGTCGTCTAGTTACTTAAAAAAACAAATTTGGTTTTCCATTTCCATTCAAAAAAAAAAAAAAAAAACACACACAATGACGATCATATACAAATACCAAATCCCATTCTTATTTGTTCAATCATAATAATATTTTTCCTTGAATAATAATCCAAATCTAAAGAAATTTTTCAAAACGCATTCGTGTTTAATTTTCATGGAGTATTCATCTTTTTCTTTTTGTGTTATTGATTGATTGAACTGTGTGAGAATCCAAAATTTAATTTCGAACAACATTCCTTAAGATCGTCATCAGTTTTCTTTTCTATTGAGAACAATTTTAAAATTTTTTAATATTTTGTAATAAGTATTTTGCAAAATACCAAGTATTTTTTTCCCACACAACCCTCCAGTTTAGTTTATTTCTTTTTTTGTTTGTTTATTTAATATTTTAGTCATTGTTGTCTACCTGTATAATTGTGAGAAGGTTTAATCTGTTTTTTTCTTGGTTTTTTTATAACAGAATTATTTTTTTTGGAAAATTTCTGACCAATATCGAACGTTAAACAATTGTAAAACAAAAAAATATTGTATTAATTATATTTGTGTGTGTGTCAACTTTCTAGTGTGTGTAAGTTTCTTATTTTACAATTGTTTTTCGTTCGTAAAATGTCGAATTTTTCAAAATAATCAATTACCAGCTTTTTTGCTTGTTTAATTATATCCAAAAATTTAACGAGAGATGTTTATGTAAATTATATAAGCGTTAGTAAATGAAAAATACAACCCACAATAATGTATAATTGCTGTCAATAAAGGTTATTATAATTATAAAAATAAATATAATATACATTAAAATAAAACTAAATTATTAATGTGTGTGTTATTTATGTGTAGGGGATTTTTTCCAAGTTTACCATGAACTTGTTAAACTGTAAGGTGTGCATTTTTAATAATTAATTTTTCAGGGTCCATTAATGCTAGGATTCTTAATAAATATTTTTTCAAGGTCCATTACGGTAAAAATGTGCCTCATTGAAACATTGGTTTTAGACCCCAAGTTTCCTTTGACCAAACCCGTTTCAAACGATTTGGAGTCGATTTACAAATGTCTGTCCGTTCGTCTGTCTGGCCGGCTGGTGCGCATGATAACTCTAGAAGGGAGTAGGTTCGGTTAGGTTTGGGGATGTGCAGTCACTTATGTGGCTACAGCACTCAGAGACCTGTAGGTCCGTTGTGTTCATCCACGAGAAGACAATAGATAAGGACAGATCTATAGGGGAGAGAAGATTGGGGAAATAAAGAGAGATGAGAAGCTTACAGAAAGATATAAGAAGGTAAGATTGGAATAATGTCGATGGCTATAGAGATCAGACAGAAGATATATTACGTGCCAAGGTTGCACTTTCCAAACCACTTTAGGTTTCTAATTATGCTGTAGATTAGAGCATGTTCGGTTTTTGAGAAGAAGCTAAGACTCGGAGGAAAATGAGCACCCACTAGTCTGTGGCGCCTGTAAGCCAGTGCTGGATAGTGACGCAGAGAATACTCAATTGTCTCCGTCTCCTCATCGTCAACGCAGAGTCTACAGTAATCAATTGGATCAAGATCCCAGGCCGTTCGGCCTAGCCCAACGCGACAGCGTCAGTAAGGCTCTTTGCATAAGCTCCGAGATTGTTGACCGGTATTTTCCGGAAATCAATATCACCACGTTGTCCGTATAAGCTACAAGTTTGATACCTTTCCCGTCCAGTTCCATCAGTATATTATTAATTACCAATAGCCTAGCAACGGCGAGAGCACCCCTCCCTGAGGTGTGCCTTTAGTTACAGTTTCCTGATTTGTGTATCCCCCACTAGAAGGGAGTAACCGATTTTCAAATATAAATCAAGTTCGAAGATGGGAACCAAAATGTTAAAACAGAACAGAACAGAATCTCCGATATGAATCGATCTGTATATTGTTAGGAGCTGAGACATATCGGCCCACTCGGACCAGAAATCATACACTAGCATACTACATATGGTTGCCTTGTATGTGGACGGTAGTTACTAAGAACCGTACATCCCTAACCTAACCTATCGGGCCACTCCGCCTGTTACCTCAATAAAATGTTGACCATTTTGTATGGGAGATACCGGAAAGAGTGGGCTTATGTGTCTCATTTTCGATTGTTATTGGATTAACTACTTTTCAAAATTTTGACCCTTCTTAAGGGAGGTACCAGATGAAATGGACCGAAGGATCTTATTTTCAAGTTTGATTTAGAGTTGGTAAAAATATGACAATGTGTAAAGTTTGGGTCAAATGGAACATTCATTTCGCTCAAAATTAAATTTAAAAAATTTGAAAATTCTTTTTATTAATCATTTTTTAAGACCAAACAAGGCATCTTTGACCATTTTGTATGGGAGATACCGGAAAGAGTGGGCTTATGTGTCTCATTTTCGATTGTTATTGGATTAACTACTTTTCAAAATGTTGACCCTTCTTAAGGGAGGTACCTGATGAAATGGACCGAAGGATCTTATTTTCAAGTTTGATTTAGAGTTGGTAAAAATATGACAATGTGTAAAGTTTGGGTCAAATGGAACATTCATTTCGCTCAAAATTAAATTTAAAAAATTTGAAAATTTTGAAACATTTTGGAGGTCTCATCTTCCTACAATATACATGTTTGGAAAAAATATTAGGTTGTGCAAAATCAAATCGAATAGTCCGTTCGCTTGTTATTATAAAAATAGTTTTCGTGTGTACCGATATTCCCCATATTAGAACCTAATTTAATTTTTAGCAGAAATATAACGATCTAAAATCAGATGGTTGGTTAAAAAATTCTTTAAAACTCTGCTATAAAATCAGTTATCTTAGTATTTTAATTAAAATGAATAAAATTAAACATCGAATATTTTCTTCTAATATTTTATTCATACACATTACTACATTATTCCCCCTATCCAATAGTGAAAAATATAGCTGCTACACGATTCTGTTGGCCTAGTACGGCAAATGGGAAAAACTGAAGAAAATCCAATTCCACAAAAAACAGAAAAATGCAGCAGAATGTGATGCCAGATTTATTAATTTTTTTCTATTATGGAACGCCTAAAAGTATGCTCATAACTTCGTAAACTAACATGGTAACACAAAGCAATCAATCTGGCAACATATCGTGCATTTTTCTGTTTTTTTGGAATTGGAATTTCGTCAGTTTTCTCATTTGCCGTACCAGGCAAACAGAATCGTGTAGCTGCTATATTTTGAAACATGGTCAATTTCAAATGGCAATAACTCGGTGATGAATATAGATATTTGAATGAAACTTTCACTATTGTATAGGGGGAGTGTTGTAGTTTTCATGTGTAACAATAAAATGAAAGAAAAAATATTCGAATTTTTAAAATAGTCGATTCGAATTAAAATAGTCGATTTTTAATAAATATTTTTCAAGGATCAAACAAGGCGTGGATTATTAATAAATATTTTTTTTAAGCTGCATCAAGGTGTGTATTTTTTTATCAATTAGCCTCATGGCTAATGAGGGTATATACATTTTGATACGGTGAAAATGTGCCGCATCGAAATATTGGTTTTAGAACCAATGTTTCTTTGGACCAAATCCGTTTCAGAAAATTTGGAGTAGATTTACACATGTCCGTCCGTCCGTCCGTTGTCCGTCTGTCTGGCTGGTTGGTGAGCACGATAACTCTCGAAGGCAGCAACCGATTTCATTCAAACTTTGCACATCATAATATTTCTTCCAAACTTAGTTTAAGTTCGAAGATGGGGAATATCGGTCCATTCCATCTGCTAAATGGTCAAAACTATGCTCGAAAAAACTTAATTTTATAATAACATGCAACGGGTTATCCGATTTTAAAAAAACTTTGTACAAGCCTAGATCAAGTTTGAAAATGGGACCCATTGGTCCATTTTTTCTGGTACCTCCCCCACAAAATGGTCAAAATTTTCAATATTTGTAAATCCAATATCATGAGAATGGAATGTCCGTTGTGAACCAAACTTGGCACAACCCATTGCCTTTACGAAGTCAAGATTAAGTTCAAAGATAGGACCAATTGGTCCACTCCTTTTGGTACCTCCCCAACAAATGGTCAAATTTTTCAATATTTTTAAATCCAATATCAGGCGAATGGAATGTCATATTTCAAGCAATCCTTGCATAGCCTATTATCTTTACCAACTCTATATCAAGTCCTAAGATGGGACCTAGTAGTCCACTCCTTTTGGTACCTTCCTTACAAATGGTTAATATTTTTAACAAAATTTTATCAACATTAAATCCAAAAACTCTTTGATAAAAACATATTTCTTATATAAAGCTAATAATAAAATCTGTGTGTAATTCCAAAGAGCTCCGTAAACCATATGCTGAGGGTATATACCTGTCGGCAACACCGACTTACACTTTTTTACTTGTTTCAAGGTCCGTTAAGATGTGATTTTTTTCATTTAAAAAATTTTAATAAATATTTTTTCAGTGTCCATTAAGGCGTGGTTTTTTTAGTAAATATTTTTTCAATGTCAAAGGCAAAGCAAGGCGGGTTCTTTTTATTAATCATTTTTTCAAAGACCAGGTAAGGTGTCTTTTTTAATAAACCATTTTTTGAAAGACAAAGCTAGGTGTATTTAAAAAGAAAATTAGGAAGACAAAGCAAGTAGGGTTCTTTTTATTAATCATTTTTTCAAAGACAATTATTTATAAAAAAATCATTTTGGGAAGACAAAGCAAGTAGGGTTCTTTTTATTAATCATTTTTTAAGACCAAACAAGGCATCTTTTTTAATAACATGTTTTACAAACCTTTATTAAAATATTAAAAATAAATAAAAAACTCAAATACACTTTGATTGATATTTTGATGTTATTCATTTTATTTTCATATTTTTTGTTGCTGAATATTTATTATTTTATTCATTTATGTTTCGTATATAAATTATTATATTATTAATAATTTGTTGTGAATCGAGATGATATAATAATAGTATATACTTAGCAAAATAGCATTTCAATATACAAATCTAATTTATTATAATAATACATAAATATAAGTACAGTATTAAACTACATATACAATTATATTATTTACTACACATTATTTTTTAAAGCTAAACTAATAATAAATACATTATGAAAAAAAAACAAAACAAAATGTATATAAAAAACAAAAACGACAAGCCTTTTATAAAAGCCACAAATACCTATTTTTTTAAATTCTAAAATTACAGTAACAACTACTGATACAAAACACACCCAAGAGCAATCAATTCAATTATAAACTATATGTAATATTTCATAATAATAGTTATAAAAATTATTGTATTTGATTTACAACTAAAATGCCCTCTCATTTTGTGTTAATTAACAACAACCAAAAAATTGTATATCTGATAACTAAAAATTTTACTTTAAAAGGAATTGTTTTTTTTAATTATTTGGTTTACGTATATATGATTTTTAATGATGATGGACACAATATTGTAAAACAATGTAATAATGATATGATAAGGTATATTTTTGAAAAAATATATATTTAAGAGCTTTATGGGGAGATTTTGTTCCAAAGACAAAAAAAGAAATATATATATATATATAAATATATAAGAGCTGTTATATTAAACCATATCTAAGATTTAAGATTTTGAATCGAATAAAAAATTAGTTTTTCCTATCTTTAACATAGATTTGCAGAAATGCAGGGAAAGTAAAATGAACCGGCCAATAAAATATAGTCAGGTGTCCCCACTAATATACTTTGGAAAATTAACTAAGACCTTTATGGGCCATTTTTGAATAATAAAACAAATTTTTGAATAATAAAACAAATCTAAAGTTTTAATGCTAACTGAATCTAAATTTAACCAAATATGCCAGGTTTAATTGTGTTAATATTAATACTGAGCATCTTTAAAGAGCCAAAAAGTCTTTCCGAAAACTATACAATTACAAATGGCGGTCCTCTACAGACAATAATAATTGGTCTTTTATAAACAATAATATATTCTAGGGATAAGTAGATTTACTTTCGATTAATCGAAACTTTTTGTATTGAAAGGTCAAAAAGTCAAATTTGACTTTTGATTCTTTATAAATACTTGATTTATTATCCTAATGCCCAAAATTTACATATTTCAGAACATTATTTTATCTCTTGACAACCATTTATATATAAAAAAAACAAATTTTTAGTCGATTTTGCATGGGTCGATAAAAGTCGAAAATCGATTTTGAACAGGTTTTACAAAATCGAAGGATGGAGAAGACAGATTTTAAGTCAAAGACAAAAATTGAAATGTTTAAAAATCGAGGTTGAAATGTTTGGTCAGAGGTAAAAATCGAAAAGTCGACTTTTGCGCTCGAGTACGTATCCCTAATATCTTCAGAAGATCTATAATGCAAACACAACCTTATACAGACAGAAGACGTAAAATGTTATTATATTTATAGAATTGCCTACCTTAGTCAGGGACTATTATCTATATAGGAAAATTATCAGTACTATATGTAGAGGACCGGATTATACCCTCAGCTTATGGTTTATGGAGGTATACGGAATAACACACTGGTTTTAATATTTCCTTTATATAAGGTATATATTTTTCTTTTATTAAAGAGTTGACCATCTTTGGAGACTTACCAGAAAAAGTTGGCCTATAGACCCCATCTTAGTTTGGAAAAGTATTACGATTTATAAAGTTTGGATTAAATCAGACATAACATTATCTTGATATTGCATTAACAAAATTTTAACATGTTGACACTTTGTGGGGATGTATATACCAGACAATTATCAATAATTACAAATTGACATTTGTTTCCAATTTTGGTAAGTCTCTTTCCACACTAAAGCAATTTCATAAAATAACTCAAGTTCTATTAAGAAGGTCACCCAGCTAGGGAAAGTCTTATGTCAAAAATTTGGCTTTTGTTTACGTTTTCATAATGGAAGTCAATTCACAATAATTTCCAGCTGGTATTTCTGGACGACCTTATTTATAGGCCTTGAAATAATTTACATCAAGATTTATTAATAAGGCCAACAAGGGAGACCAGCTGGATATCAGCTGACTCTCAACTTTCCTGTCAAAATCCATTATTTTGAGTTGACATACATTATGAAAACGTAATCAAAAATCTAATTTTTTTTATCAATATCTATTGATAAGATCACACAGCTAGCGAAAGTCAGCTGTTTCTTCTCAAATCTAATGTCAAAAATTTGGCTTTTGATTACGTTTTCATAATGCAAATCAATTCACAATAATGGATTTTGACGGAAAACTTAAGAACAAGGCCTATAAATGAGGTCATGCAGGGTGCTCAGCTGGATATCAGCTGTCACTCAAGTTTGTGAATTGAAAAAGTAAACAAATTTCAAATTTTGCCATTAGATTTGAAAAAAAAAAAAACAGATGTCTTTCGATTTCAATTGCTACCTGGGGGACCTTATTAATAGACCTGGCTGAAGAGGTAGCTGATATCCTGATGGTCTCCCTGGACGACCGTATTTATAGGCCATATTTTTGCCATTAGAAATCACTTCAGTTCGGGTTTCGACCATGGTACAATTATACAAGGTAACTGCAATACTCAACTGATTTCATTGTATCGTAATACTGGTGTCAAGTTCGATATGACATTTTTGATATATGTAGAATGACCCAGAAAGGGGTCATTATATTTGAAATAAAAAATACGATATTACAATTTGAGCTTGACAATATATTGGGAGCCAGAAAAAAATACAAGACCATGAATTGGCAAGAGAATTTCAATTAAATTAATTTAAAAGATTACTAATCGCACGTCAACAATTTTACATTTTCAAATCAAAGAAATCGCAACAGAAGTTCGTTGCCCATTGGTTTACAATTTACTTCAATTTCCCAATGGAAACAATTGAGGCTGCAAATCCTTTTGCACCATGGGCTTCGACTTAGGAATTTATCAAAAAAAAAAAAAAAAAAAAAAAAAAAAACAAATTTTAACATATGCATCAAATTTACAGACATTTGTTCTACATATTGAATATAGGTCTGAAAGGTAACTACTAGAGGATTTTTACTAAAAGATATTTAAATGGAAGAGTATTAATTTATAAGAAATTGTTTTGTTTATTTAATTCATGTGATCGTTTCGTTAACTAATAATAAATGTAAGAAACCAATATTTTTAACAATGATAATATTTATAAGAAAATCTAATCATTAGTCCAATAAATTAATTGTTTATTATTTATTTAAATATTTTTTCTTTTATTATTGTAAAATCCTAGATTTGGTTCAAAATTCAACAAATCTCTATTTTTATTTTTAAATATACATATATAAAATAAAAATAATAAATAAACAAAAATTTATGTTTGTTGTTGTTGTTGAGAATATATTTTACAGACTAGTAGAACTTATTATTAATAAATTGTTGCTCTTAAATTAAATTTTGAATAATAATAATAATATATACTCTTAATGCGAAAACATGATTTCCTTTTTTTGATTAATGATTACTTAGCGCATATAGATAATTAAGGACATTATATAAGTTAACTAGTATATTTAATTTTTGTTGATGTTGTTATAATATTGCTAATTTGGAAAAGCATTTAGAAAAATTTGACGTTTTCTATTTATTTTTTTTGTATTATTACAACATTTCGTTTAAGTTCGTTTTGTAGTTTTGGGTAGAGGGGATAGAGAGAGAGAGAAAATACTTTAAGCTTCTTTTGCGAGAAAAATTTGATTTGTTATATATATTCTTTTCTTTCTCTTTTTCTTTTTATTTTGGAATTTGAAAATTGTAAATAGATAAGTTACGACATCTAAGACAAGGCCCAAATAGTTTAAGTGTTGTTTTGTGGTTGTGCTTATAAGGAGGTTCATTATTTCAATATCATTGTTTTCAAATATGTTTTTGTTTGTTGTTGTTGTTGCTTTTTGATTTGTTTTCTAGATTTGAAGCGCGTGCATTACTAGAAGAGCCATCGAAAATATGCATAGCTAGTGGTTTTTTGGTTATAGATAAATTGTATATAATAGTTTTAGCATAAGGAAATAAAGATAGGGGGTTCACTTTGTTGTAATACAAATTTTGTTTCGGTTTTGTTGTTGTTGTTGCTGTCATTGACAATCACTTGTTTTTGCGTTCCATTTTATTCCTGCATTTTATGTAAATTTAAACGTTCTTGGTTCCGGCTAGATGATCGAGAAGATTTTCGATTGATCGATTCCAGGTACGCGGCTGGGGTCCAACCTTCAGCATTGGTATCTAAAGGGAAAAAAGAAGAAATTTTGAATTAGTTTTTAATGAAAACAATAAAAAAATCAAAACTGCTACTAAGGGAAAATTCTAACTTTAAACAGTGAAGAATTTGCTGATGGAGGGCCAGTCATTATCTACAAAAAACTTCACCCTTATTACGGTAGGCGTAGTCGTTGTACGGCAGCTCTGGTAGGCGTAGTCGATTGCGTTGTCGTAGTCGTTTTTGGTCGGTTTTATGTAAAATTTTCGACAACACCAACTATTGTAATAGATTTTTCATTTACTCTGTTACAAAACGAAATCAAAAATTGTTCTTTTAGAACCCTTTTTATATTGTATTGGAAAAACTATGTAATTTTGTTTGTTTTCTAATTAATTTTTGTGGTAATTGTAATTCTTATGAATATTGAGTAATGCAATAAAATAAATTTGAATGTAAAACGGCATATACATTAGAACTTTTTATCGGGTTAACCTACTTTATGAGGATTTATTTGACATATATACAAAGGAATTGACAATTGAAATCCACTGGGTTAACGAAATCCGGTTAAATGTAAACGTACTATAAAACGGCATATACATTAGAACTTTTTACCGGGTTAACCTACTTTATGAAGATTTATTTGACAAATATGTAAAGGAATTGACAGTTTAAACCCACTGGGTTAACGTAATCCGGTTAAATGTAAACGTACTATAACAGTTAATCAGTAAATATTTTTAAAATGCAATTTTAACACATTTTTATATATTTTTGTATGCTGTCGTCAAAAAAATCGTTTACGACAGATTTGGCGTATTGTAACGCCTTTCATAATACCGATTTGTCGTATAAATTCGACAGTGCCGAATTTTTAACACGACTACGCCATCCGTAATAAGGGTGCTTATGTCGTGTTCGCACTACAGATATATAGTCGACTTTAACACTTTTCAATTTTTTACTCTGATCAAAAAGTCGATTTTTAGACTTTTCGTTTTTTGCCTTTGTCTAAAAAGTCGACTTTTCGATCCTTTGATTTTGCCAAACCGGTTCAAAATCGATTTTCGATTGTTACTAACTAATGCAAAATGGACTAAAACAAGGTCTATTAATAAGGTCACCCAGCTGGCGAAGTCAGCTGTTTTTTCTCAAGTCTAATGTACATAATTTGTTTACGTTTTCATAATGGAAGTCAATTCACAATAATGGATTTTGACAGCAAACTTGAGAGGCAACTGATATCCAGCTGGTCTCCCTGGATGACCTCATTTATAGGACTTAATTTATAGAAACGGATTATAGACGACAGGGCCTATTAATAAGGTCATCGAAGGATGCCAACTGCTTCTCAAGTTTACTGTCACAATCTATTATTGTGAAGTTGGACTTTGTTTACGTTTTCATAATTGAAGTCAATTCACAATAATGGATTTTGACAGCAAACTTGAGAAGCAGCTGATATACTGAACAGCTGGCGAAAGTCTCAAGTCTAATGTACAAAATTTGTTTACGTTTTTATAATGGAAGCCAATTCACAATAATGGATTTTGACAGGAAACTTGAGGGGCAGCAGATATCCAGCTGGTCTCACTGGATGACCTCATTTATAGGACTTAATTTATAGAAACGGATTATAGACGACAAGGCCTATTACGTTTTCATAATTGAAGTCAATTCACAATAATGGATTTTGACAGCAAACTTGAGAAGCAGCTGATATACTGAACATATTAGTAGGCCTTGAACTTGAGATTATTGTGAATTGACTTCATTTATTAAAACGTAAAAAAATCAAATTTTTTGACATTAGACTTGAGCAAGATCTATTAAGCGAAAGTTATATGTTTTTTATTATTCTCAAGTCTAATGTCAAAAATTTGCACTTTGTTTACGTTTTCATAATGGAGGTCAATTCACAATAATTGCTTTAGACAGCAAACTTGAGAAGCAGCTGATATGCAGCTGGGACTTGAAAAATAAACATATGACTTTTGCTTACTGGGTGACTATATTAATAGATCATGATATACGACACTTCATTTAAGGATAAGACCTATATGAGGGCATCTATTTACATAAGCGAAATATTTAGATTTCTACAGCGAACTTAAAAAAAAAACTATTCTAAATTAGAGATTTTACATGTACAGTTAGTCAGATACAATAAATTATATATCGATAATATACATACAGACATACATATCGTAGTACATATAAAAAACAGATAAATTTATAAAAAAAGAATTGTGACAATGCTTATGACAAAGTTGACAGGATAGTAATAATAAGAAAATGGATAAAAATGACATTTACCTAATATTCGCACATACCACCAACCGGCACAGCCAACCTTAAGCAGTTCAACCGTATCACCTTCACGCATCGATACCTCCGAATGGCCAACGGCCACATAGTCGGCTAAGGCTACATATTTACTTCCCTATAAAATTGACCATAATGTATGATGACAGCGACGATAATGGAGAGGCGAATTTCCAATAAAGAAGGAATGATGATGTTTGGAATTTTGATGTGGGCCAAAATATGATGTTGATGATTTTCGAATATCCCAAAAGAAAATAGAATAATGAAAATGAAAGACGATGAAAATAATTTGAATTAGTATAGTTTTATATATGTTATTTAATATATGTTTTTTATTAAATATATAAAATTAGTAATTGATTAAAATTTATTATTATTCTGAAACGTGTTAACACATTAGCCATTAACAAAGCATTTTTGCGTAATAAATGCAGAGTAATATATGAAAATATATTTTTTGTTTTAATAAAATGTTTAAATGAACTCAAGCATAATAAAGTTGTTGTTTTAAACAAAATCAAGCATTTGAAAATGAAACTAAATAAAATGTTTTGTGATTGAATTGAATAAAACAAAGTGAAATTGTAATGTTAGCTTATGTTAAGGTGTTGGGTGAGTAGTTTTAGGTTAGTGTTGTTTATTACTATCTAGGTTATTGATTTGTGGTGTTTCTAGCATTAATTGTGATACATTTTTATTTAAATATTATTATTTTTGTTAACAATATGCATTTAAGTGCCGTAGGGTTAATGTGAGTGTTATTGTCATTTATGTTGTGTATAATATACGTTTTATAATTATTTTCCATATACAGGGGTATTTTGGTTAAAATTATTTGCAATTTTGAATTATTGTGTATTCTATTTACGAAGAAATACATTTTCTATAAGCCAATAAAGAAGCAGCTGATATGTATCCCTGTATGACCTTATTAATAGTCATTGCAATTGTCATTGAGTAGGTTAACCCGGTAATAAGTTCAATTAATTGAATTTACATTTTTCAAAAACCAAAATCTCCTTTGGTACAGATTATGAATATGTTTATAATATATAAAGATCAGCTGTTTCCTGCCAAAATGTACTATTGTGAATTGAATTTACAATTCACACTGAACGACATTGCTCAAGAAATGCCGTCGGTCACTGAACGACATTGTATTTTTTTCTACACCTTCAGTGTTGTTCACAGGTGTATTGACTGACTAAAATAGTCAAATAAGAACAATTTCATATAAAATCTGTTATTTTGAATGAGATTCGTGTAATATGCGGTGCTTAAAATATCAAATGCTACAGAAGTGTTTGACGTACAGCTGGAGGGTCAGTAAATAATATGATGCGACATTTAAAGCACCCCCATAGATAACCGTGGAGCTGGAAACTACGGAAAATAGGCAAAGGGGGACCAGAGCAAAAACTGCAGCGCAAACAAGAGTGCTGCCGAATATTTAAGGAGTTATGTCATTGACCACCACCCCTTAACAAAGTGGAGAAAATATATAGGAAAGTCCTTCGAATGATTGTGAAAGGTAATCATTCTTTACGGTTGGCTGAACTGCCAGAACTTTATTGGAATACGCTGCCATGCCAATTGAACTGAGTATCCAATTGAACGGTATAAGCAACTGAACGAGGTGAACGACCTAGTTCACTTAAAAAAATGATCTAGTTCGTTCGATCTCTGAACTGAACGAGATTTAGTATAGGAAGTTTGGACCATATATCATGCGTATTCAAAGCCTAAAAATCTTTTTAAAAACTAGTTCGGTTTCAATTAGTCGATATGTTGTGACTTGATAGGTTATCCGTATACGAAGAAATTCGTCTAAATTGACAAACACGTGTTAGTTAACACGTGTTATTAATGGCTCTTGTCTTATATAAATATAGCCTTCCTTTTAATCAAACTAAAATATTTGGAGAAAGTCCTTTTGACAAGATCACGCAGAAGAAGACATCTATTGGATGATTTTAATAGACCTTGGTTTGCAGCATCAAAAGAGAATGTTGGGTTTAATCTGGACCATACTTCGCGCATATTCAAACAACAGAAGTTAAGTTGTTCGTTTAATTCACCATAAAAAAAACTCAATATGACAAGTAGGCAGGGTGGTCCGGCTACTGACGGATTATCATTGGGAAATGCTGTCCAGTTGCCGGTCATTAATGTTGGAAGTATTCAAACTCAGCATAGCAATAAATTTTCGTCACAGTACCCCTCCCAGGTGTTTCACAAAGGATCTGCATAAATATAGAGAGTGTTTCAAAGTTCGGGTGTGTTGATTTGATTTCATGGTAAATTTTTGGTAGGAAGATTTGACAGTTTTAATTTGAAATATTTTCGGGTACCGGAGTAGTAACAATGTATATGCAAAGTTCCATCTATCTTAACTATTGCGCACTATATTCTGATTTCAAGAAACACACGGACGGGACTAAGTTGAGATATAATTTTATTCTGATCAACAAAATGTGGGGTCCCCGAAAAATACTTCGAGGTATTGCAATCAGAATGGCCCATTTAATATACACTCTATCTTTAGGGCATCAAGAGAACCCTTAGATAAAGATGCTGATCGAACAGGTCAAAATTGGCGATAAATTGATATCATGCGGGGTCCATTCCCCACAATTCGCCGGTGAGGATTGGCAGTCATAGATCCCAAACATGATTCGCGGATTTCCCTTTTTTACATCTCATATTTTAATACTATTTTTATGCAACAGTGTAAAATAGGAGTTAAAGGGAGAAAGAAGAAAAAGTAGGCATCATAAGAAAGTTCGATTTGTGTTTTCCTCAAAAAATATCACACAAAGAAAATCGAAGAGAGATAAAAAATGTAAGTAAGGGGGTTTCAAATGTAAATCGAAATAGAAATAAATAAATTAGTTCTTTGTAGGTCGACGACAAATAAAACCCAATTGCAGCATTTAGTGTCAGTGATGTAATTACATCCAGACATTGCACGTGGATTTTATAAAGGGAGCAAAGAGTATCTTACTCGGTTTTGGAAAAAACGGAAAATGAGCTCAATTCGATAGGATAACCGAATGGAAAAAGGTTTAGTACTACATTTTTCATTTACATAAAATAATCCATTCATTCTTCAAAATTACTTAAAATAGGTTTGGGCTGACCAAAAAAATATGTAAGGCAAAAAGCTGCACAGAATTTACAATACAAAACAGGAACAGGAGGCGGCCCAAACAAGGAGCCAAAAGTTATCAAGCACCGAAGAAGCTATCTATAATCTTATTGAAATGAAATCGTCTGCAGAGGGTGTTGCAGTAAATAGGGATACGTAGTCGAGCGCAAAAGTCGACTTTTAGACTTTTCAATTTTTGCCTCTGACCAAAAAGTCGATTTTTAGACTTTTCAATTTTAGCCTTTGACTAAAAAGTCGACTATTCGATCTTTCGATTTTGTTAAAACTGTTCAAAATCGATTTTCGACTTTAACTGACTTCTGCAAAATCGACTAAAAATTTGCTTTTTTATATGAATTATTGTGAACAGATAAAGTAAAGTTCCGGAAAGTGCAATTTTTGAGTAATTTGAGCTTTGTGATAAAAAAAACCAAATATTTATGAAGAAAATCGAAAGTCGATCTTGAAAAATGGACTTTACGATTTTCTCATAGATCAAAAGTCGACTTCGACCATGGCCTATAAATAAGGTCACCAAGGGAGACCAGCTGATTATCGATACCTCTCAAGTTTGCTGTCAAAATGCATTATTGTGAATTGACTTCCATTATGAAAACGTAAACAAACTCGAAATTTTTGACATTAGACTTGAGAAAAAAACAGCTGTTTTCCGATTTCGATTGCTATCTTGGTGACCTTATTAATAGATCTTGACTTCGACTTTTGGGCTTTTCAAAACAAAAAGTCGATTAATCGATTAGTCGAAAGTCGATTAACTTATCCCTAGCAGTAAACCCTGTTGGTCTTGACGATGATGAAGAGACAGCGAATATTTAACGAATATTTAAGTACTGCCAGTGATGAAACAGGACCAAATGAGCATCTTAATGAAGTCAGCCAAATGGATATATCAATATCAATGATGTTGACGAGCGCAACATCATTGGATATAATTAAAAGTGAAGAGATGCCATATTCCAAAAATGTTACTCCTATATTTTCCGCGATTGGAGGATTTTTCTCTCGAGAGAAATGCTTTCCGTGGGAATAGAAATTCTCCCATATTTTGGCGATTGGGCTGATTACGATTTTATCTGTACCCTTAAGAAAGATATTTTTTGATTGATTTTCATACTCTTAAAACAATTCCTGATAAATTAAAAAACTATTTTCTTTTATCAGATTGACTTGTAGAAATCATGAATGACAGTAAATAAAGTCCGAATTTTCCATTTTTAATTTTCTAAAATTCGATGTTCGATGTTTTTTATAGTGACAATTATAGAACTGGGGTGGAAAGCTTATAATATTTATAATCATTATGTACATATTTTAATGTTTTAATACTACAATATTAGGGTGTGCACACGCCAATGTTATTTGATTAGATGGTCATTTTGAGATTAATGGTTAATTTGGGTGTTGGTAGGTAATATTGAATGTTTATTTCAAGACAAAATTCATACAATGATATGTATTTTCGTGGCTATATAACAAGGACCATAAAAAACCTTTAGTGCATTGGATTCCGACATTAAGGGCATCCTTAGAATCGAAAAATAAATTTTAGGGTGTTGAAATTTTGACTTCATGTCCTAATGGTTGGTTTGATATCCAAAAAAAAGGCAGTCAGATAGTCTTAATTGCATTGAATGATTCCCCTAATAAAGTAGTGATCAGAAATTAATCCGATGAAACTCCCTAATTATGGTAAATATTCTACGCAAGACAATACATGACAACTTTTTTAATTTTTATAGCAATGCATAATGTTTGCAGCCTAAATGTATGCTATGTTATGGATTGCATTGCATTGCAAATGCATTAACAATTGTGTTAATTAATTTTACAATTATTTATTTTAATTTGTTAACACAACACGTACACGCATACACACGCACATATGCTAAAAATTAAAATAAAAAAGAATTCAATTATGTTAACTTGTGATTAGTGGTGGTAGTGAT